GTAGTCATGACAACACGTGTTAGTCATGACAACACGTGTTAGTCATGACAACACGTGGTAGTCATGACAACACGTGGTAGTCATGACAACACGTGGTAGTCATGACAACACGTGGTAGTCATGACAATATGTGGCGGTATTCATGACAACATGCGGTAGTCATGACAACACGTGGTAGTCATGAAAATATGTAGTAGTCATGACATGACGTATTGTAATCGTATATCTGTGGTTCTAGCAATACGTACAAGACCTCCTGAAGGAAGACGCTTTGGAGGTCATCGATACACTCATCAGTCGTGGTGGTCATTTCTATACATGTGGTGATGTTTCCATGGCAGCAGATGTATGTAGAACATTACAGGTAAGACTGCTGACCACCAATAGAATAGGTAGTTAGGAATAGGTAGGAAGTGAGAAGAGAAGAGCAAATATAGATGGAATATACATTTGTGTGTTTTTCTGGTACACAGACAATGCTGGAGTCGTATGCAGCCATGTCGCAACAGGAATCACAAGACTTCATTGACAAACTAAAGGTCAGTGATAAAGAACGGCGTTCAGTATAACTGTAGAACGTTTGAAGACTCCAATCTAACTTCTTCTTTTCTCATATTGTGGCCGCAGAGCTCTGGTCGATATCATGAAGATATTTTTGGAGTAACATTACGAACACGTGAAGTAACAGATCGCGTTAGAACTGCAGCACGAAAGTAAGCAGCATATTGTAGAATATTCATTACTCTGGAAGTTACAAAAAAGGGCGAAGGAATGGACAGGAAAAAGGAATGGAGTTTGCGTCTATTTTCTTCCTGCTCAATATTTTGTTACATTAATTTAGACACTTTCATACTTCCCCATCATCATCATCATCATTATCAATGTTCCCCATCCACTGTTGCAGCGGATTGGGTGCCGGGATCAAACATGAGCGGGAATCGTGTTTTATCTTGCACTCCCATTTACAGTTGTATTTTAGACAGTCCAGCGATCTCTTCATAGTTTTTCCAAGGGTCTTGCGCATATGGTATATTCCTGACTTTCTTTTTCATATTGCATGTGTTGCATTCGTTATCATAGATACATCTAAGGCCTAGGGCAAACGTCGAACTTTCCGTTTGCCCTAGGCCTAAAGACCTCGTTTAGTGTTAGTTGTTACCAGTCTACCTCTTCTGGGGATTGTAATACCAAGGAATGTTGACTTGCCCCAGTACGCGCTAGCCATGCAAACGAAAGACTTTCAACTAATTTCTTTGCACATGCGCACGAGCTATGATAACCTGAACCTTTATTGTGTATTTCATAAGACCTAAGCGCAAAGCTAGTTCTCTTACATTTTTATAATCACCTTATATCATTAGGGCTTGGGTTTATATTGCTACCGCCAGATCTGTCAAGGTATGTAAATTAAACATGACGAGCCATCGGTGTTCTGATAATCATATAATTTAACTGAGTTAAAGTACTGTTCAGTCTTTAAACTAACCTTTTATAATCTACTCTCATTATTACAAGCTCAATTCAATTAACTCTTACTTTTAGAAGGTTAAATCGTCATCTTTAAAAGGAAGAGATGTCCAAGATTCCTCAGTAAGGTTTCCTTCTCATTCTTACGCATGCTCAACTGTACTTCATTCTTATTCCATTAGAAACTAACTAACTCTAACCGCACAGATTTCTATAAATAAGTCTTGAGAACTACTAGTGTGCGATAGCATTAGTACGGTTGCCTATAAGGGACATGTAGTCGCAAGTTAAACAAGTTGCTACGAATAACGAATTGCTGCATATATTAGACGAGATTGCTTATACTTAACTCTTAATTCTGAATATGAGCAAAAAGGAATTAGAAAAACACTCTTTCTTATAAAAAGATATTGCCAAATATGGGGTTCAAACCCACCAACAGAAATTCAAGAAAAAATCGATTCCACTGTGCCATACCCCCGAAACATCCGCAGAGCCTGAGGCGGCGTATGACTTCGAACCTAACGGCGATTAAATCCTTCTGCCCTTGGGTGTACGAATTACGCAAGAAAATGTTGTAGCCGAGGCATTAGGGGAGCGAAGTTGTTACCAGGATGGGTGACCTGAAACTTATGCATACTAACTTTTTTGGATTTTTTTACCGTAACTTTCAATCGATTACAATTCGTTTTAGTTGTGGAATTGTCGAAAATTAAACTTAGCTAGAACTCAGTGCCAATCGGCAAACTGCTCGCGCATGCTTATCGTCTAACATGCAGCAACTCGTTTCTTATTTTGCATCCAGCAATTCGTCTAACATGCACCAACTCGTTTCTTATTTGCAGCAATTCGTCTAACATGCAGCAACTCGTTTCTTATTTGCAGCAACTCGTCTAACATGCACCAACTCGTTTCTTATTTGCAGCAATTCGTCTAACATGCAGAAGTTCGTTTCTTATTTGTAGCAATTCGTCTAACATGCAGAAGTTCGTTTCTTATTTGCAGCAATTCGTCTAACATGCACCAACTCGTTTCTTATTTGCAGCAACTCGTCTAACATGCAGCAACTCGTTTCTTATTTGTAGCAACTCGTCTAACATGCAGCAACTCGTTTCTTATTTGCAGCAACTCGTCTAGCATGCACCAACTCTATACGTTTCTTATTTGCAGCAACTCGTCTAACATGCACCAACTCGTCATTCTTATTCGCACCAAATTGAATTGTCTCAGTAACTTGCTGCATGTTCCTAATGGACCACCGTACATTAGGACATCAGCCGTCAGTGGTATAACTGACTCTAAGGAAGATATGAATGATTGGTTACAAACTGATTATAAACATTTTGACAGGGAAAAATTCGAAGTAGCGTTTCGTCACCCAAGAGGTATCCTTTAGACCGTGGTCCTACTGTAACGGTACTGATGCGATCTGAGAAGGAAATAAATGAAGAAAATGAAGCTGAAAATATCAAGTAAGTCAAGTTCCCATTCAATTCCCCCTCTCGTTTCACTTACACCATCTTCTCCCCTCCTTTGCTCGTCCTCGCCTGTAGTYATAGGTTACTGGGTACATGGGTGAGGGTAGATAGTAATAATTATCAAAGCAAAGYCTGTAATGACATCAGAGAACAGTATAATTGGCTGACAGTACAACAACGTGACTGATTGATGTAGCATTCTGATTGGTTGGTTGACCAGATTTTGTATTTAATTCTGTGCACAAATGTTCATGTGTATATTATCAACTGCTTGATCTACGACTACCCCACCCCACTCCCCCCATTAAGGGTACTGTACACAGATCTCTAGAATATGACGTCTTTGCTTGTAGATTGGAAGCAAGAAACCAGCGTCGTTCTTCGCTGCCTGATACTGAATGATGCCGGCCCATCAGACAAGACCAGACAGGCTTGAATGTTCAAACAGGCTGGTCAATAGAATATTCAAAAATGTTAAACGAATTAATTTAACGAATACTTAATGAATTGAATTGCTGAAGTATTTAATCATGTATGTCATGAATGGGACGCGTTTAGCAGTGCTCACCCAAACAGATCGTCAATTATTTACTCACAAACCAATGTCTGTCTTTGTCCTATATTGACTGGGTGGGTTGTGAATCGTTAGTATGCTACTGCATGGCTACTACATGGAATATAATGTACTGATAGACTCAGTTGATGTATTGTCATTATCGCCGCATGGGAAATGCTCTATAAAATGAATTAAACAAATCAAATCAAATCTGGAGCATTGAAACTAACACCAAATGGGTACACCTTTATTAAATGTGTAACAGGACGATTTACGTGAAAAAGATACAATAGCTTTACTACATGAACCCTTCGATTTGAGGTGGGATGAGCAAGAACCCCTTTTGGGCTACCTGTGGTGCCTGTACGTGGACCACAGACAGCCCAAGCTACTTTACAAAAAATGTAACGTCGTCTGCTCGTCTGAACAAGAAGTCTAAGGCGCAGATGTAGGGGAAAAATGTTAAAGAGCTTAAAAGATATATATTTTAAAGACCCTAAAAGCAAAATAATTTAGGCATATAGTTCGTATATAAGGTTTGAGATATTGAAGATTCTGCAGATTAAGACGCCTAGACTGTATCGGAGAGTTAGCCAGTATGGCAAAGAAGGTAGCCATTATCGGTGCAGGAATTAGTGGTCTAGGGTCTATCAAGAATTCTGAACCCAAACCGTTTTTCCGGAACCGGTCATCCCTGTCACAATGGCTGTGAAGGGATGGAGTAACTGAAACCTGTCACATTTCGTGTGATCTTCAACATTTTGAGGCAATGGGTACGGAGTGTGCCGATAACTGCTTTTTCGCATTTCTTCTTGACCGATCCAATACTTTCGTTGCGAATTGTCCCACTTATGAGCTCGACTTAAATGAGTGTATAAATTCTTTTGCTGCTTTTCGCAAAGAGGACAGGACCATGTCATCGTGCGTCCTTCGAAGAATGAGGCGAATTCCTATAGGGAGCGCTATTTATGCGAATTCAGTTGGCAAGCGCAGGAATTAGTTTAGTTTAGTGCGTTTACCACCCTAGGAGGACGGCTAGATGCAAATTGATAAGGCAGCCGGTATAGAATCTAGTGTAGAATCTAGTGTAGAATCTAGTGTAGATAGTAGGCAGCCAGTTGTATGATAAATACGATGGTTCTTGCCGTTATCATTTCATTTGAACAAATTATCCTAAGAGAAAACATGTCTGTCTTACTTCGTGATAACTTTGGCTATTTGCATCTTTTGACTAAATGCCCAGAGCACCTCAGAGGAAAGTCTTGCTTGCAACAGCCACTCCCGAACAAGTCCATGTACTCTCTGAGGTCTGCCATAATCTATTGAAAGGAGGCATTCCACTTTCTTACTCTCAGAACAAGAAGCACTAAGACCTCATGCTAAGAACATAAGACCTCATGCTAAGACACGGATGAGAGTGAGACTGAAAGTCAGTCAACAGATGACCAACAAAACGAAGAAGAGCAGGAGGAAGAAAATAGCGTTAATGATGAAGATAATGAGGATGATGATGGCGACGAGGAGGATGATGAGGAAGCGGAGGATGGAGAGGAAGGAGAGAGTATGGACGAGGAATTGGATTATGATGAACAGGAGCAAAACAAGTGTCACGTTTGTCAAGAACCCCGGCAGTTTTCAAAGATTTTTATAGTTCGGTGCCCAACTTGCCATTGGCACGAAGGTCACTACTCAAGGAACATAAACGAGGTTGTCCGGAGTGACATTTGTACGAGCGTGTTCCCTGCGAATCAACAGAACACAAAGAAAACGTGTTACTGCTGTAATGACTGCGATTCGATTCACCGGATGTCGTTAAAATCAAAGAAATTGAAACTCATCGTACCACAACAAGAGAGCCGAAGAAATAGATGAAGAGGAAAACCATGGAATGAACCTTGACTACTTTCCTTTATTAGCCAAGTGGGAAAACTTCTAAGCAGTCGTAACCGTGTTCAAAAGTAATAACTAAACTGTAAACCAATAAAGTTATATATGCAAAATAAAGAAGCTTGAGTGAAAAACACTTGTGTTCAATATTTACTGCATTCAGCGAACCTCGACAATATGTTACACATGATATGATGAACAATAAAGCAAGTTTAACAAATTCACGTCTGATGATAATCATTGTCTGCATGATATTCTACCCAACCAGAGAAACCGCAAACTGCAGAATCGAGGTCATAATTTACTATTCTCACTATAGAATTTGAGCACGAAAAGCCCAAAAAACGAGATTTTTCACAACAACGCTTATTTGCATGATTCTCGGGTTCTCGTGGCATGCATTTTCTCAGCCTGCTTCTTATATAAACGTTCCCGTTCTCTCTGGACTGTCACATATTAGCTCGTTTGCGGGAAACGAAAAGTAAGGGGAAAAAACTCCCTCCCCCCCTCCCCGCAGCGATGGATGACCATAGTCAAATAAAAACTGTTATGGGACGACCGCTCTCGGTACGAGCTCCGGGATCTTCATTCTACTTTCTTCTGTGTGTTTTCTCTGTGTGTTCTTTGTGTGTCGAGCTAATTACATATGAGCTCTATTCATAATAATTCTATGACATGTGTCAGTCTATAACAAGAGAATATTATATTCTCTTGTCTATAATTAATATGATAATATCGTTGAATTATGATTGGCTAATAGAAATGGTAAATTCCTAAGTGCGATATCTTATTATAGAGTAATACCACAGGTAGCCCAAGCTTGGTTTCTGTGGTGTCCTGTTATAAGGAAATGTATGGGGATTCATCAAAAAAGTCAATAAAATCATTGAAACGTGAAATAAAGGGTCGAAATTTTACCCGATCATTGAGAAATAGCACTTCTTTCGCTCTGCGTGGTTATTTTTTTAATTTAGCCCGTTTTAAGATTTTTTTCCCCACCAGGCGCTGGAAAGAAAATTAGAAGACGTACGAGGTTTCAAAGACCCGTGATGGTTCGCTTTTGGGACTCGAGTTTCCAACCTTCTCTTATATTTCTTACTGGTGTTATCTTAGCAAGTCACGTGATATGTGACGTCATACACCCAAAATCGTTGGGGTGACTGACAGGGCAGGTGACTACATCCCTGCCAAGTTTCGTTATCACAAGTTGTATTGCCGCGGAGAAAATGGGACAGGGGCCACCAGAGGTGTGGGGCAACCAGACGTTGGTGGAACGTGCCAAGCTTTCTTGAACAGTTTCACAAAATGGATCGGCGGAACACAGGAAGCCCAAATTACACCGATGTAAATGATCTGTAACTCTGTCACGCGTAACTATCAAGTAAATAAACAAAGCGTATTTTCATAACTTAAACCTGTTAATCGCAAAATATAATCACATATGAAGTAGAAGAGACTTCAAGGGACAACTGGTCTAAGTCTGAGAGAACATTGTGGCTTTTTGATCGAGAAAACGAGGAAAACGTTCCTCAAAACATGACCGCCATTTTGTTTCAGTTACGCAACAGTTCCACACTGAATGAATCGGCGTAACACAGGAAGCCCAAATTATACCGATGTAAATGATCATTAAGTATTTCATTACTTGTCTTATACCTGTTAAATCGCCATAAATAATCACATGAAGTAGAACAGACATTACTAATGGACGACTGATCGCTGCCCTCAGTCCGTGCAGCATCTCCAGCCAGATATTTCCCTGTACGTGTCCCACACGCCGGCCAATAAGTGCTCAATATCAACATTCATATTAGCAAAGCAAAGCCATCTAGACTACAAACACTACTCCTACAATAATATTTCGAAAAATTCTCTGCTAAAAAAGGCTTCCTCGCCTATTACTTCATTCCAACTACATGACAAATTTGTGAGTGTACAAGATCAGTGATTTTATCCAGTTTAATGTACATCAGCAAATATAAAAAAAGTAATCAATGAATTAATGTTTTTTCTTTCGAAAGACAACCCATAAAACAACTACACTATTGGTACTCACTGTGTAGTGGTACTCACTGTGTAGTGGTACTAAACACAAACAAAAAATAATGGAGTTAAGTAGAGTTTATTACTTTCCAAAAAGTAGTAGGCACATGCGCTTTATAAGCGCCTTTTTTTCCCACATCTTATTCCCTTCGTGACTACGGCTTTGTGAGCGAATTCTCATAGTGAAAATATACTACGATTTTGGGCGACCTAGAAAATTTCGAGTATAACTAAAATATTGTCAAACATTTCTCACAAATCGAAATAAATATAATACAATCAAATTTCTCATGATGCATGACGTTTATTCATTATTTGCATATCACAACGACAGTTGCACTGAGGTGAATCCAACTGGCAATCACGCAGATCAAAGGGATGATGGAAAAAAGAACAAACAACATACAATAAATTAGGAATAACAAATCGAGCTGTCACGCAAATTGAATACGATGAGAGAAAAATTTCCCTCCTGCTTTGAATACACCTTTTTTACTTCCTTAACAGAAAATGTACATTCATTTGTGCCAATAGTTGWATCTATAACGTGTCATGTACTTTCATAAACACCACAAGTAACATCATTAACGCGGATCAACTTTCAATAACGATATTTGAATATGCGTGTACATTCATGGGCATCAATGGACAACTAATAGCGCGTATGTACATTCATATGCGCAGAATGCATTTTCTTGTGCACGCAATTAAACTTCAATAACACGAATTGACAAACAGTTGCGTTTATTGACAATCATTTACCTAAAATTGAAAATTCATCAGTGCTATTAGCATAACCATTGACAATCTATAACGCGTTTGGACAATCATGAGCATCAATGTAGCATTCTTTAACGAGGTTCGACAAACATTTACATGATTCAAATAAACATTAAGAGAAAAAAAGCAATYATTAGCGTTTTTCTTTAATAACATAATGTTAGTGAGCAAAATCTCTCTGGCGTTGCAATTAGTGCTCTAGATTACAGTCGTCCTTGTATTGCTTCTCTATTAATACAACGTGGGATATATGTCTGCATAAATCTAAACCATTGCCCACTTTTGGCTACTGTATTGTCCCTATGTTACGCTGCAATGCTTGCAGCAGTGTAGTTGTGTGCGGTAATGCCCTAACGCGATTCCTTGTCGCCTTGCTTCGGCTCTATCGTTTATATGGCGTTGAATGTCTGGACGGCTTATGTTTGCTTTTATCGACGCTTTTAATCCACTTATTGCCTGTTCTATTTCTTGGTGGCATATCGTACAAAAAGTGACTGCTATAGCTAAATGTAGGTCGACTATTGCGTTCAATGGCTTCTTTATATCCTTCAGAAGTTAAGGTTGTTGATTTTTCACAGCACGTAAATCAGCTCTTGTTCTATCTTAATTTTTTGTGAAGAAAGAGACAACTTTTTAAAAGAATGCTGAATAAAGAAAAACAAATACTTCGGCACGAATCTGCCAATAACTTAACTAACGTGTTCGTATATGTGCTTTGTTCATACAGTAATTACTGGAGGTTAATGGAAAGTCACTTCAAGAGACCTCGTTCGCGAAAGCATTAGAGATTCTGAATGACATATCGATTGGAAGTATGGTAGCCTTAAAGGTACAAGCAAAAGATGGATCCAAGGCTGAGATGGAGACGACTTTCTCCGAAACAGGTTCTGCGAATACAGTCTCACGTGCAGCGAGAAAAGCAAGCAACGACAAGTCAAGCAAGTGTGTTATGAGAGAGAAAATTAATGTTTTTACAGACTAAGCTAGACATCAGTTTTCTACGGTGTAATTACTATTTCTTATCGTATGAAAACAAGATAAAGAACGATCAATTAGTTATTAAAATCATCACGCACAAGTTTAGATAATGGTATGCTTTGAATTTACAAGTAAACCTCTTAGCTCCTCCCATTAGCATGTACACCTCAGGCTACGCCCTACACACTCTTTACCCCCTTTGCTTAGGTATTTTAGCACTATTCTTTTAAATCTTATGATATAAATATCCCTCGTAGACCTTTCTATGCATTTACCATATATTCATATATTAACTTTAGTTTAAGCTATGTTTAGTTCTAGGATTTTCCCTCGTATTACTCTTTAATAAGATATCACACTTAGCAATTTACTATTTCCATTAGCCAATCAGGACTCAGCGATAATATCATATTGATTGTAGACTGACACATGTCATGACTTTATTATAAATAGAGCTCATGTAATTAGTTTAGTCAGAAGAAGAAGAAGAGAGTCAGAGAAAGTGGAATAAAGATCCCGTAGCTCGCACCGAGAGCTTTCGTCCCATAACAAATGGAACATCATCACCTGCAGAAGAACACAAACGAACAAATAACCAATGGTCAAGCTATTTCAACCACTACTGTTGATGTGAAAACTACGAATGAACATCCTGAAAATAAGATGGAAAGTAACAAAGCTAGTCCATTAACGTCACCGATCAGGAAATGCCCTTTTACTGGTACCTTGCGTGAAACCTCCAAAACACCGAAGATTATCAAACTTAAAAACTGGGAAACAGGGAAAGAGACAATCGATACACTTCATCAGAAGGCTAAGATTGTAAGTCAAAAGATTGAATGTATTAGTCTTGTTATCATATATTTATCAGATATCACCAAACATTGATAGAATAGTTTTGACTTTTACTATAGCCTGGGCAAACAAGATTCAAAGCCTAATTCAGACTTCAACAAAATAAAGTTTCTAATCCGCAGACTGGCGGCAAACGACCTTTCATCTGACTAGCTAGGATTTGTTCTTAAAATATATTGGCCTCAAGCATCTTATGCCGACTTATACCTACTGCACTTCAAAAATCCTCCCTTTCGATAGCTTTCTTTGTTATACTAAGGCTGCGTTCATTATGTATACCGCAGGGGGGGGAAGGGGGGCAAGAGGAAATTTCAAAAATACTCCAAAATTTAAAGAT